ATACGACCTATGTCATATGGATTGGAAGTAAACTGCTATGCCTCTGGTCCTGAAACAAATTATTTCCATCAGAGGAAAACCAGATCGTCCCTAGTTCAGCAGGATATTTTAGCTTGTTCAGGCGTTTCTATGCCTTTGTCTGACGGTTTTCTCGAAACTTTTCTGAAAGAGGATGATTATTACACCTGATAGCGGAGGTCCTCATACAAGGCCAGGCTCATGGAGGAAATTGCAACAGCCATTACCCGCGTCAAATACCGCATTCCCTTGTCTGGGTCTTTCATCAATTTCCCTTGTAGTTTTTTGGATGAATTCTGGAGTACGGAGGCAATCAGAACATCTTTCCTCCAAGGCACGACATTGTAGTCTACGGTGCAGATCTCCGTTTCACGCCTTGTTTTAATGATGTGCAGAGAATATTCAGCAGCTCTCATGACAGCGGCATTTTGATGTCGGATAAGGATTATCATGATACAGGTTACCCTTTTCAAATATTCACGTGGCTTCCACGCCACCATATTAGTAAAATTTAAAACCTCGTAAACTATTGTGACTACGTTTCTCAATGCCGTTCACTGCTTACAGATATTCGAAACTTACCCTGAACACACTATATATATATATATATATATATATATATATATATATATATATATATATATATATATATATTCAGATAAGGGTCAAACACTAATATTCCATTACTCTGTCTCAAATTTACCCTGAACACACTATATATATATATATATATATATATATATATATATATATATATATATATATATATAAGGGTCAAACACTAATATTCCATGGTTATAATTTATTACATTGGTATCATAATCACGATCCAATTCATCCGACTTACAAATTCAAAAAGAAAAGAAAAAGATTTCTTTTCGGATTTATATGTTGTTGTGGATTCCAACATGAAATTCGGTCTCCAATGAATGACAAACGCAAGAATTAAAGATAAGAAATTAAATGTATTTACACAATAATACAATAGGTAATACTGTTAGTAAATCCAGGAACGCGGTTAGTCGCAATATATATATATATATATATATATATATATATAATTATTTATTTAAAGATATGATTCCAATTCGCAACATAAGAGGTCCCATGTTTCAAAACAAGAGCCGAAAACTTCAATATAATTATTTGAATTAAATTGAGTTAAAATAAGCTCTGTTCCATCTTCAAGCGAAATATTTTTTGGAATAACGTATTTCTGAAATTTACGTGTTTTAAAAATTTAAATCAAAATTTCCATGGTAACAGCTAGGGCGAATTGTTTAAGTTGGGTAGGCGGGTGTTGGGTGTTAATAATAAGTATCAATATAGAGTTACTTTCATAGATGTCAAGTCAGGGAAAGGTGGGGGTGTCTAAATTTGAAACGGAAGATGTATTAAGCCTAGTCTGGTATGCTTGTCTATGGAGATTTATTTTTTTTTTTTTTTTTTTTTTTTATGGAAGTGATTTGTGCATATAAAAAAACTGTTGTAACATTTGTTTTTTGACGACTTCATAAAGGGTTATCTTTTTGTAGGGTATTTAAACTATTTATATGGGCTATGAATTATGAATGGTATTATATTGTATGCTCGTTCTTAGCTAATTATTCAAACCATGAATCTGATGATTGGGCTATGGATTAATCAAGTTATTATATTGTATGTTTGTTTTTAGATAATTATTCAAACCATGAATCTGATGATGTCGACAAAAAACCGTCAACTCATGTCTATTGTTTAATAGATTATTATTATTTAGAAGCTTAATAATGTGCAATTTCTCATGGAAGCACAAAGGGCATGGGTCATCCCAAGTTTTACATGTTCTAGCCCTGTTTATAATTTTCCAATTTACTTTAGGTGTCCTATTTGTTTCCTTCAGATACTAAAAATATTTAGATAGGGAAGTATGATGTCTTTTATTTATATTATTGAAAGAGCACTTATGCTGCCTCCATCTATCTTTAAAATCATTTTTCGTGGACCCAATGTATATCATAATATTATATATATATATATATATATATATATATATATATATATATATATATATATAGTCTCGAAGTAGGACTTCCTTAGAGTCTACGTGCTTGTAACTGTGACTTCTACAAGCAGTTACCTCACACTATTACTCTACCTCCAACTCAATCACAATCTCTGCTCACTCTCCCAATCTCTCTCTATCTCTCTATTCTGACTGACTCTGGGTATTTAACGGCAGCAGTCCAAGTAACACTTTGGTCGAATCCACTTATATGAAAAAGGGGAGGACCCCATAGCATATGTATATATTGAAAACTAATATCTATCTATCTATCTATCTATATATATATATATATATATGTGTGTGTGTGTGTGTGTGTGTGTGTGTGTGTGTGTGTGTGTGTGTGTGTATCGGTGCGTGTGTGTGTGTTATAAAGAAATATAAATATATTTAGAAGGAAATACAGTTAACAGTTTAAGAAGGATCACAGCAAATGAAAAGAACGACATTTGGATAATTGGTTAGATTTTGATATTGGTTGGACTGATAATATTTCAAAGCAAACTCTTATTACGCTTATAAAACGCCGATTCTTCACCTTAGAGCTGAACTTAGTAGCCAGCGGATATTTGTAACGCATGCCACGGAATCATTTTATCGATATCGGCATATTTTCTCCACTGCGACTATGACAACATTTGAAATATATATAATATACGTATATAAACATGAAATGTATTACGTGTTTCGGAAGCTGTAAAAAAAATTAACATTTATTTGATTTTGGCATGCGTGTTTTTTTTCAGGATTTTATTATCATGTTTTTTTATAATTCAGTACAAGTATAACTTAATTTTATAGTGTTTTATTAATTATTTTATTATTTCTTAAGTTTGCTGTTAGTAGGAAAATGTTTTCCGATTAAAAAAAAAACTAAAATATTCATAATCTAGGCTCTATATCTGCATCGAGCACCGTTTTGAAAAATAAAAACAAAAATACTAAAGAATTGCGGATAGTCAATCTAACCGTTTTTTAGCATTATATCAACATGTATATATAGATATATATATATATATATATCTATATATATATATATATAATCGCATTAATACTTCTGATTGATTCTATGTGTGATTATTTCTTTGTATGTAAATTATATGCTGCCTAATGTTTTATGTTTATAAAAAAACTATCGATCCGCAGTACATAAAAAAATTCCTATAAAATAAACTACTACTAAGACATTACACTATATTATTGAACTATATACTTAGTTCATGACATAAAAACTGAATACACTTGTAAAAATAGAATACGTGGATTTAACACATCACAAGAAATATTTAAATAAAATTCTCACTTAAAATTTTGAAAAACTTAGCGTTGCGTCTTTGAAAAATGTTCATCTATTTAGTTTACACGTCTATTATTTTAAGAATTCCCAATAAACTTGATAAGACTATATATATATATATATATATTGAGTATAGTTAAATTCACAGATGAATTCTGTGGTCAAGACAGATTGGTATAAAATGACTTTTTAAATTTGGATTTTTTAATGTAACTATAACAACAAAACCATTACGATTTCATTTTTGCCTTGAAAACGTCGGATGACGAAACGCGTCGGCAAAATCTAATTTTTTTTGTTCCAATTGTGATTTTATACCATATGTATATATATATATATATGAAAAAAAATCACATTTATTACATCAGCAATTAACATGGATATCATTGATTCTCTAATATTTTGTCATTACGCATGCGTACACTAAATACCGTTCATTTGATCTCATCCTATCAGATATAAACAAAATGCATGAAGGCCTTGAGTATTAAACAAAAAGATCTTAGATAAAGACTTTGCTTGGCTCCTTTTTCCCTCCAACCGTTAGATAGTCGGAAAAATCTCAGCTTATTGAAGGCCTGGTTTCCCAGTTCATTTCCTCTATTATTTAATCTGGTCGTCTTTTTCAATTACCCACGTATGTCGATGACAGCAACAAGAAAAGCTCACAGAATTTCTAGTTTCCTTGGATAAATGTACTCCAGATATTTTGATTTCGTTTGCGTTGAACAGGAAATCTTTAACTCTGTGGCATATAAAGCCAAATGTCTTTAAGTCAATAGAAAAGGGAACACGCATGATGTCATGGGGCTAATTGATATTTGAACAGTCGTGTCAAATACACATATGTCAATGTAATCCCACTGAGTTGCTTTTTTTATTATTATATGTAGAATATATATATATATATATATATATATATATATTAAAAAATTAAAAAAATTAAATCTTCAGACACACCGGGTTGTATATTAATATTCTTTCATTTTTATTATTATATCATTTAGATTACTCGACTATTTTCGGCCAACATGGCCATCATCAGGTGAAAAAAAATGTTTCCTTGCTGGTAGCAGTGAACTACAGAAAAGAATGTCTAGATGGAGAAAATGAACTTTTGTCTGTAGTTTTCATTTTTTTTTTTTTAACATGAATTTTGGTCAGTCTTTGTGTTGGTCAAACAGTCTCTTTTAAGTTGTTATTTGAGATAGGAGCTGGATAGATTCATGTTGCTCTGAATTCCCTTGGTCATTTTGACAATTTTATTGGTTCCTAGAAAGAGCGTGTGTCTCTGTTAAGTGTGTGTGTGTGTGTGTGTGTGTGTGTGTGTGTTATTTGGTTCTTAGGGAGTGAGTGAGTATAATGTATTTATATTCGGGTGGGTGTGTATATAAGTGTGAGGCCTCAACACCTCCATAAGCATGTCTGTGTTATGTGGCTGAGAAATGTGGGTAGGTCCTGATTTGTGGGTTATATATTCATACTATCTACATTGTTAAATTTGCAGTTAAGCAGAGTTATTAATTTATTTCACCAGAGATTTTATAAGATTTTGTTTACTTATATATATATATATATATATATATATATATATATATATATTTGTAAATAATATACATGTGAGTTCAATCTCAAATGCAGATTATATCTATCTATCTATCTATCTATCTATCTATCTATCTATCTATCTCTCTATATATATATATATAATCTGCATTTGATATTTAACTTATATATATATATTATTTACAAATATATATATATATATATATATATATATATATGCAAAATTTTGTAAAAATAAAGAATATGTATGAGATCAGCGGATTATATATCTTACTGTTCTTTCTTTTCAGTTATACATATATGCACACACACACACACACACACACACATATATATATATATATGTAGGCATGTATATATATATATATATATATATATATATATATATATATATGTCTATATTTATGAGATGAGGTATTATGTACATAATCTACATTATTCGGACTACTGTCCTCATCTTTGTCGCTCCGTCCTTCTTCAGGTGGTTGGAATGTCGAACTGAACCCTTTATTTCGCTCACTGGGGTAGACTGTTCTAGTTCCACGTGCCATGTTTGATGTATGTCAGTTATCAGTTATCTCCTGCTAATTTCCCTCTGAAAGTTCTCCACTGCCTTAACCGGGTGTTGAACTCTCACTCTTTGGGTCCTGTCACTGGATCCTACCAACGCCTTTATCCACTGTGCCATGTGTCCTTGAGGACCGGCCGCCCCCTCAATGTAAGGCTTCAAGAACACAGAAAGCTGTAACGCGAGGGGAAGTAGAAAAATCAGGCGTGGCTGACCACATATTGAGAGAGAAGGGAGATCACCGCCCACTGTGGGATCATGTTGAGATCATAGACAAGGAACACTATTGGAAAACTCGTAAACTTAAGGAATCAGCACATATGCTTGGCCACAAAAATCTCCTGAGCCGACCAAGCATAGAAATAAATTCAACATGGGAACCAGTAATAAGGAGTGCCAGAGAAAAGCAATGATAACAAAGGTGCAATACGAGCTCTGGTAAAAACATGAAATGATAACGGCAAAATTGCTATAAGAGCACTGGTAAAAATGGTTGCTGAAGACATTAGGTTTATAATACCCAGAAATTCATACCCAGAAAAGTAAATATATATATATATATATATATATATATAAACACAAGAAAAATAAAATATTAAAACTTAACCACAGTAACTTGTCAGTTATTTTAACGAAACCTCTTCAATGACAGGAATCTTTCACGGGAGATTAACTTTCATCTCACACCCAGGACTTTGCACAATATTTAAGCGCGTTTTCTACGCGATGTCAGCATTATGGTGTCATTTATTCCCCCCCTCTGATAAAGTGAAATGATTGATAAGGTATATCTTGTTTATCTTTTTTTTCTTAGGTGTTGAATCTGATAAATATTCATAATATTTAAAGACGTTAAAGACAATATATATATATATATATATATATATATATATGTGTGTGTGTGTGAGGGTGTGCGTTTGTATGTGTGTTTGTGTTTTAATCGACTCGAATTCTCTTATCGGCTTCTTAATGTTGATATTAAATAAATTAAGTTGCCGTAGTTTTTTCATTTCTTCTATTTTATTTTCCCAAATACATTCAATCTCACAGAGATCATATTTAGGAATGAATATATATATATATATATATATATATATATATATATATATATATATATATATATATATATATATATGTGTGTGTGTGTGTGTGTGTGTGTGTGTGTGTGTGTGTGTGTGTGTGTTTTGTGTGTGTGCGTGCGTGCGTGTGTGCATTTGGGTAACAATCCCTCTTTTTATACATGTTTAATTTTTCATGTATACATATGAAATAAAAATATCATCTATTTGAGGTATAATATTTTTTTTCAACAAGAGACATACAGAAATTTGTCTGAATGGATTTTCCGCAATATCACCGTTAGTTTATATATATATATATATATATATATATATATATATATATTCATTATAGTCGTAGAAAGGGACTTTATTTGTATAAAAATTTCCTCAGATGATTTGGCTTAATGGATAGAGGTGTAATCGACTCAGGTTTATACCCAGAGTTACGGTTTAAATCGACAAATTCATTGACAGGGAAGTTTGTGAATAAATCTTCTACATTAAGGGACTCTAAAATGCCTTGTCTTGCTTGTGTTTATTTAGGGATTTGGAGAATTTCATGGATGTAAGTGTGTGTGTGTATGTGTGTGTGTGTGTGTGTATGTGTGTGTGTGTAAATTATTTTCAGTATTATTGGTAAAGGAACAAGATGAAAAAAATCACCATCGGAAAAATTATTCTTAGAATATGGTTAAATTCATGACCTCATGTTTTTGAATATGCACACAACATCCATCCGAACCAAACCATCATAATCTGATCCCAATTAAAACAATATTCACTTAGTAAAAATAACTCTTGAATATTTTACATTTAGATTTGTCGTAGGAGATTTTAAATTAAGGCATTTTGTCTCCTACACATGTTCTGACTGGACGTTCTCAAATTTAAAAGCTCTGATAAAGCAATTAAAACGATGCTCTTGCATATAAACTCGGGCAACAAAATAAATCCTGACATTTGCCTCGATAGAATCCTCTTGTCATTTTATACATATTGTTTTCGCCCTATCGTTGCCTGTACCTGTGATCAATTAGTCTTCAACTGGGGTCCTAACACGTACCGCACTCTAAGGATAAAAACGGATAAATCAGTATAAACAAAAGGCCCCGGAAGAGCATACCCCTTCAGAGCACCTTAAACAAATGCGAAACATATTAATTTTCTAAACGTTTCATATTTGTTACTAATTCTCAAATATATATATATATATATATATATATATATATATAAAGAAATATAGTCTTAAGGTGTGCTATATTTATGGGATAAAGTGTTCAATATCAGAGATAGAGCGTGTGTAAATATAAAAGTGAACATAGAAGTCAACACTTAGAGGCGACCATCTGTTTCATGCTATATGCAATCGTCAGGCCACACACACATATATATATATATATATATATATATATATATATATATATATATATATATATATGGATATAGATCCGACAGTATGAAGAAAAATATACGGAAAAAACAAACAAAAACCCTAATATGCAGTTATGCTGTTTTAATGTTAATATAATGTCAACTTCGGACGTTTCGGTCTAGTAGACCATCTTCAGGACATATTCATAAATCATAATTAACATTAGACTATATTCAATTCAACATAAAAAATTTCAGTTATGTTTTGATCAGTCTTACTCTTATGTCCATCTTCTTTTCATGTTAGCATGCTAGTTAACATTCGTGTCAGTCAGCTGTTGGCTCTCACGCTGGCCAATAGAATCCTCCTGCCTATTCTTGGCAGCCAGCTATTGGCTCTCACTCTGGCCAGTATGAAATAGCCGGAAAATACATGAAAGCTGGCGTAGAAGAATGAAAAATTCGATTATTTCTACTGTCAATGGGAGTTGGGAAATGCAAGTCGGTCTTGGCCTTACCACTAACTTGGAGCATGTGCATGTAAATTTTGGTGCATATCCGTCGGAAATTGCGGCCGTGCATTCGTTATACACACACACAGACACACACATCCTGCCTTTCATATATATATATTTTTTTCGGATTGCATCTCTACTTTCGTTGTCCTCTTATTACTGAGAAGTAAAAACAAGAACAAAATCTACTTCCATACCTGATGATGTCTGTAGGAACAGACGAAAGCTTGTAAAAAATTAAAAAGACCTTATGCAACTGGAATTTATAAACAGGGATCATATCATTCATATACAGGTTCCGGGTTGGTGTATCTTATTTATGTGTTTGCGACGATGTATTCTAGCCATTTAAATCATTAACCTCTATATTTGTTTTTTGAATGAATGATACATGAATTTATATATATATATATATATATATATATATATATATATATATATATATACACACACACACACACATATATATATATATATATATATATATATATATATAATATAAACTAGACAGACGTCATACCTAAAGTACCTCTTGGTCAACGCTTTTTCAAAGATATTCGTTGGCAATATTATATATAGATGAATACAAAGACACACTTAATGAAGGAGGGAAATGTGGAACTCGACTAAGTGCGTCTTCATTAAGTGTGTCTTTGTATTCATTTATATCTAATATTGCGAACGAATATCTGAAAAATCTTTGGCCGAAAGGTACCTCAGGTATGACGTCCATTTTGTTTAAGGCTATATATCAGTTCTTTAGCTACAAATCTCTGTTTTATATATATATATATATATATATATATATATATATATATACACCAACATATATGACCAGGAAAATGTTAAAAAAATCAAAGGAAAACTGTTAAATACATGACCTCATGTTTTGGAAAGTACGTACATTCCAAAACATAATAATCTGATCACAATTTAAGCAATATTCTTTTATTAAAAAAAGGAAGACAATATTCTTTATTAAAAAAGAAAATTCTTGAATATATGACGGGCTTGGAAAATATTCGATTGACTTTCATATAATTTATGTCCTGAAAAGAGGGAGATTGTAGGAATACATGAGAAATAATATAGAGAAAAATCAAATGTAGCACCTTGTTACTCGTTTTCAACGAAACATGCATAAACGAAGGTTTGATGCCCAAATACAAAATATATAGTTATCATTGCCTGAGTAAAAAGAGAAGCAGTTATTTCAGATATGCAGACAATAGTGTGTTACCTGCAACCAATATTGAAGTCTTAAGACAGTTGCTGATGGCAATCAACAAGAAAGATTTGAGGTACAGACTAAAGATCAATACAGGTAATAGTAAATCAATAACAAGACATTAAGCAATTATAAGCGATTTCAGCTTGATATTGATGGGTAGTGCAGTGAATATGTGAAATGTTTCGTCTACCTTGGGTCCCTAATGACAGAGCGAGCCAGTTGCGAGGAAAAAATCAGGCGATGAATAGCAATATCTAAAATGTATTTCCTGAAGTTGATTGATTTATAAACCTTTTTCATGTAAGTCAAAGACTGAAAAGATGTGGGAATTTTAAGAATTTTTTAAGCATAATAATTAGAATTTAGTGATACACCTACTACTAATCAACCCATAACGG